TTTTTTTTTTTTTTTTTTTGTCAAAGGAAAACTGTCCCAAAATAATAATAAAAATGTAAATGTTAATTTTAGCTGTGTATGTTTATGCCATTACCATGACCCACAGCCACAAAACATTCTTCTAATCCTGATATTCACAGCAATACTACAATACAAATGTACATTATATAGTATGTTTATACCTGTAGTAGGGCTCAGAAACAATAGTGCACATTTTGTTAGGTTTTTTTTTCCCTACCTCAACACACTGATACTAGATACAAACCCTTTTTTTTGTTTGTTATATAATCCTACCTAAGACACACCAACACTAAATACAAAACCTTTTTCTTTTTTCTTTGTTAATATTCCTAGCTAAGACACACTGACAATAACACTGACCTAGATCAAGCCCTGATTAATTTAATGCAATTTTTATTAGGCTTTTTTTTTTCTCTCTTGCTTAAAAAATGTTTGGCACAAGTGATTCGCACTCCATATGCTCAAAATTATCAACATAGTGCACCTACAGTATGTTGAAGATCATTTGTGTGCCAAAACCTGGAAATTGGCATTTGACGCAGGAATGCCCCAGTTTCTGTGCCATATAGACTAATATCTGCACTGCAATAGTGCAGATATTAGCTGCAGATCTGCACAATGGACCAACTCCCTCTGATAAGCATCTGTACAGATGCCTAATGGAAAGGGACTGTCAGGAGAAGCTGCCGTCTCCCTCCTCCTGCCTAGCTGAGCAGAGGGGAGGAGGCAGCCAACAGGTTCCCAGTGATCAGTGTCCAAACAGACATTCATCATAGGGAGTGGGAAGCTCTGTGCCTGCACTTCTCCCTTACTCCCTGTGATCACTTCCTGAGTGCTGTGTTGTGCTCTCTCTGTGCATATGTGTCTAATAAACAGAGGTTCCTGAGCAGCTGTGCACACAAATATGCATGACGCAGTGCAGGGCTATGCATAGTTTATCTGGCCCAATGCATCTTTTTCTAACAGAGAATAAACTGTACAGGGGTGTCTCAATCACAGTGACTACATGGCGGGAGGACAGGCTCCCGATCGCTATCTTGAGACCAGGAGTTGTCATTGAAATCCCACTTCTGTGATCCTGAATATGTGTGTGATATGATTGGCAAAGTGTTAAACACATGCTTCTATGATTTTAATGTTAGGTTTGTCTCTTGAGTTTACTTTTTTCTTCCTGCTTTGGCTAGCTTCTGGATCTTAACTAATGGCATTTTCAGATACTTGTGTAGGCCTCCTGGTAAAAACACCTCATGTAGCTGTTTCCCTGGGATGTTTAACCTCCTGGGAAGGGTACTCAATTTGATTTGTTGTTGTTAAAAGGTACATTAATTTTGCATATGGTCCACATAACAGCCAGGAGCATCCACCAAGATCGAGAGAGCTAAAATAAAGCTTTTACATTTGTAAAACAAAAAAAATCAGACTCCTGACTTGAAGGAGGAAAGTTATAAAGCTGCTGAGGAGGGCCAGGATGATGAGACATGACATTAAAGTTGCTAAACCAAAAAAAAACAGAAATGTTAAATACTGTGTCTTACTAGTCTTTAGTTGTGTTGGCTGCATTATTATTTTTTTCAGGCTTTTTAAATTTTAATTTTCATCTGTTAATCCTGAAAACAATATACTTTGTGTCCCTGGGTGGCTAGGCTCACTTTTCCACTGTATCCACAGAGGTAGCTATGGTTGTCACAAATAAATCTGCCTACATTGCATTGGGGTGATGGAAGTAGTAGTCTGCCGAAGAAAGAGAAGGATGTTTTGCACTCAGGTCAGCTTACAGGAAGTGACAAGGGCACTGCATTTCTGGCAAAAGATCAACAGGTATTATATGTACTTGCTGAAAATGTTCTTAGTCTGGAAAAAAAAATCAAAATGAATGTGGCTTCCACACCTAAGGACTGGTAAGCTGCAATATGTCCATTTTTGTTTTTGGGTTTATTTTTTTGGTTACTGTAGTTAATTATTTCTTGGTAAAGTTTGGAACATATGGAGTGTGACTCAAAAAAAAAAATGCAAAAACCATAGAGGGAGAAAAAAAACAACCTGATAAAATAGATCAGGGCTTGAGCGCAGTTAGTGTTAAGGTGGCCATACACTTTACAACCATCGCAAGACCTTAGTCTTGCGATGGTTGTAAAGTAATTTAAAAAAACGTACGATCTGCCCATCTTGGACAGGCAGATCGTACTTGCGATCATCGCAAGCCCGCCCCCCTGAGGGGCGGGATTGCAAAGACCGCAATGCTGAACGGGCAGTGTGCTCGTGCGCACACCGGCCCGTGCGGCATTGATCTTACAATAATGCTAAAATCCAGCAGAAAATCGTACGATTCTCGGCTGGTTTTCTAGCATGCTCCTTAGACAAAAGACGTGCGACCGTACAGTAAGAACGGTTGCACGTCTTCCATACACTTTGCGATTATCGTACGATCGTGGGATTTCCCGCGATAATCGCACAGTGTATGGGCACCTTTAGGGTCAGTGTTACTGTCGGTGTGTCTTAGGTAGGATTAGAGAGAGGAAAAAAAAAGTTACTATTGTTTCCGGCCCCTACTACAGGCACAAATATAACATATGTAGTATCGCTGTGAATATCATAAGCTGGAGAATTTATTTTGGCTTTTTCTGGCTGTGGGTCATAGCAAAAAAAAAAATATATATTTTTATTTACTATTTGTGCCAGCTATATGTGCCATGTAAATCCCTCCCTCGCAAACTCTTGCCCAGAAGGCAATGAATGAAGAGTAGGGGAACCACCACACATTTGCTTTAACATAGTCACAGTACACTTGGCTTTTATATTTCAGGCAATCGCATCGGTTCACACCAGGCCATTGTGCTAACATACCATATGTACTTTGGAGCATTGCAGTGCTCTTCCTTTTGGATGGCAACCCAATGCACCTCAGCAACTCACCTGCAGCCAGTGCCCCATCTTTCTCTGCAATACTCAATGGGCTCTTGGAGTGGGGTGT